AAAAAAAAAAAAAAAGACTTCTAGGACAAACGACAAACGTATCTTGGGTATTTTGGCATTTGTGACTCCATGTTTTCAACCCCGCCTCACCATCACACCAGTCTCGCCTTCAAGCCTCTACCTCTGTGCCCTGCGTCTCGCTAGGACGCGCTGCCCGGCCACGAGGAAACTCCTACGCAATCTGCAAAACGCGTCACTTGTGGAATTTTTCCCTGTGACTTTTCACCTCACGTTTTGTAGCACTCCAACTCTCCAAACTAGACAGAAATAAGAAAGATACCACGGTCTGTCTCACCCAGGAGTCGGTGTGACGGTGGCCACGACTCCGCTGAGTCTGGTGGCGGATAAGGGCCCGGCCCAAGGACCCGCTACCCCGCACCTTCCTCCGGCCCATAGCAACCCCGGCGTGTGGCACAAGCCCTCGCTCCTCCGCGCGTGCAGCTTCCCGTGTTCCAGGCCCTCCTCCAGGAAGTGACGTAAGCAAGCCCAAGTAGGTTAGACCAGAGGGCGACAGGAAAGGGAAAGACGTACTCCAGAGTGCTCTCTGCATATCTCGAGTTTGCCAGTATCATAGGAAAAAAATGTAAAAATGATTCCTGGAACTTTACTGTAGACACCCCTACGAATGTTTCAATTTGGATAGAATGATTGCGTTAAGAAAATGGTACGTCCCAGATTTGTTCTTCAGTCTCTAGCGTCCGTCGGGAAACTAAGACAGCTAAAATATATGGCCGTTCATATTTATACAATTAGCCCCGCCTTCCAACTTTTTTGTCCAATGCCAGTGTCGCTCTGGCGGGAGGTGGGCGGGACTTCCTGGAGGGTCTTTTTTTTTTTTTTTCCTCCCCCACCATCTGGTGTACCAGTCCCAACAAGGGGATGCGTATAGCTAACTCAGCAGCTGAATCTTGCTTTGTTTTCTCCAGGAGCAAACTGGGAAGAAAAGTACCCCTTTAGTGGGAGTTCCAGATGGAAAACTGAATTATTATCTCGCGGGCTTGGCAAGATTGTAAGGAAAGCCGACAAGGTCTGACTTTTGACTTATTTCAAATAAAAAATGTTTGTAAATTCCAGTTAATATTGCATCAACATCTCCTATAATTAAAATGAAAGGGAGCAGCCGGTCATGATGGCGCACGCCTGTAATCCCAGCGCTCATGAAGCTGAGGCGGGAGGATCGCAGTGAGTTCAAGGCCAGCCTGGGTTACACCGTGAGTTCAAGACCAGCCTGGACTACACAGCGAGACCCTGTCTCAAAAAACTGAGGGGTGGGCGTGGGGACGGGGTTAGGGGAGGAAAACAGCAAGCTGGCTCCACTCTTAGAGGACTGGGCTTTTGTTCTCACTTTATCAGCTGGGTTTCCTATAATGCCAATATGAAAAGTCAGATTAGGGTCACGTGTGCTGGTAAAACATAGTCTCAATCCAGAGAACCCTCTCTGTTGTGATCTCACAGAGGGAAGCAATTTTCCTAAATTATAGATCCAAGTTTATGCAGAGTCAGAATTCAACCTGCCTTGTTGCTAACCTGATATCCCTGGGGGCTCTGGGAAGGAGGATTGTTAGCATGAATTTTATGCAGTTTTTTTTGTTTGTTTGTTTTTTTCCGGTACGGGCAATCGACCTCACGACCTTGCGCTTGCCAGGCAGGCGCTGTGCGGCTGAACTAAACCCCCAGCCCCTAGCATGAATTTTAGAAGTTAAGGTAATGGGTGTGTTAACTGGCTTGATTTAGCTCTTGCACATTTATAACGTTGAAACATAACATGTACATGATGAATATGTATAATTTTTACTTGTCCATTAAAATTAATTAAAAGTTAAGGACCAAGAAGCCATGTAATATAGTTTCTCTCAAAACTTAATGTGCACTTAAAACCCCTAGAATCTCAGTGGGAACATTGTAATGCAGAAGGCCTGAGGTGAGACCTGGGCTTTGGTTTCTTCTTTTGTTTGTTTGGTTTGGTTTTTTGGAGACAGGGTCTTGCTGTGTAATTACAGCTGTGCTTCAACTCCCCCTATAGCCCAGGCTGGCCTTGAACTTGTAACAAGAGAACCTCCTGCCTCAGCTCCCCAGGTGCTGGGATTACAGACGGGTATGGGGCTTGGTTTCTGATACACTCTGGGGAACACAGTTGTAGGAAGAGCCCACTCCCTGCTGGTGCAGCTGCAGACGTGGAAGTGACCGGCTAGGGGTCAGTCATGGCAAGTTAGCAGCAGGCAGAGTTGAACAACACCATGCCCCCATCTTTGGATTCCCTACCAGGCCCCCATGTGCTGCAACTCGACGGGCTCTTGCCTACCTGAAGTGAACTCTAGGCAGCTCGCCAAGGATAGCTGACAAGCCCTTTGGTAGTTGGCAAGGCTTCTGGAAGGCAGTGCTCACAGGCCAGCAAAGGAATGTACTGGAGCATGCATAATCTCCCATTTCCCAGTGGACGAGCATATGTCTAATATCTCTGAAAAAGCCAGATGTGGTGGCACATGCCTATCATCCCAGCCCTCAGGAGGCTGAGGCAGGAGGATTGCCGAGTTCCATGCCATCCTGGGCTACATAGTGAGTTCAAGACCAGACTGAATTACGTAATGAGACCCTGTCTGAAAAACAAAAGACAAACAAATAAGCAATAAATAAATATAATCTCCAGAACGATATCACAAAGACACATGGAATAGGAGTAGTCATAGCTTCTGGTGTTCTCCAGAGCTGGGTGGTGAGAGATCATGCTGACCCATGGTAAGGTTATGTGGGTTCACAATTTAATACCAGTAGATGATCTAGAGACCCTGCCGCCTCACAGAGCTCAGCCAGTAACTTGAGGCTTCCCCCTCAAATCTCTCCCAGATTTCACACTTCCAGGGATGATGAGGGAGCAAACACTTTGAATTTCTGCTGTCATTTTTCTAAGAGCTCCAAAAAATACTGATCAAGTAGACCAAAGTGATAATGTAATCAAGACTCATGGAGCGTCGGTAGGACACTGACACCAGTAGCAAATCTTCCTGGTTGACAAATAAGCAAAGCACTGATTATTCTAACACTTGTGCAAGACATTAATCAAAGAACTGAGTTTCAAGATTTTTATGTGGCCAACGGGGTTAATAATGATCGCCATAATTCCTATCCTGAAGAAACAGGAAAGAAGATAATACTGCTAGATCATTGCTCAGTAGTTAGTGGGGGTACCAAGTTTTTTTTTTTTTGAGACGGGGGTCTTTGTCGTGCAGGCTTTAAATTCAACCATGTAGCCCGGGCTGCCCTCAGATTCGTGTTGATCCTCCTGCCTGTGCTTCCTGAGTGCTAGGATCACAGGTATGCACTGCCCACACCCAGCTCCGTTAGGGGACTAATTGGACAGATTTTCCCCATCCCCTGAGCAGGCAGGGGAGCGTCCAGATGGATAACTGTTCAGCGAGGAGGGCAGAGAGGAAAGCAATTGCTGGTGAGACAAGGTCATGCGACCCAGACCTGGAGGAGTGAGGTCAGCTGAGGAAGGAGTGGTGGTCGTGGGGATGAGGGGTTGAGCCTGAGACTGGCTGGAGCCCGACACTGGCTGGTGCCTGACTGAGGGGCTGCAGAGATGAATCATCCCGGGTCCCAGCAGAAGTGATTCTACCCACGCTTCGGGGAACAGCACAACCCGGCCAATCCCCAGCCATCGTGTTGCACCCAGGCTGGCGTCTACAAGACTGGCCCGAGCCTCCTGGGCCCCACAGTGCTGGTCCTGTTATTATAGACGGCAGCGTTAGGGAGGAATATTACAGGGAGTCAGGGCAGGAGATAACACCCTGAAACTGGCTGGACACGATCTGAATGAGACTAAAGTCACAAAGGCCAGGTTTGCATACTTCCCTAAGGGATAATTGGAGGTTTGAGATTGTTGGTACCACTCTTTTGAGATTCCCGTATAAAGAAACCATTATCTCATTAGGGGTGGCCCATTCCCTCCCACCCCCTAGGACTGAAGACAAGACTAAGGACTACAGATTATCAGCCAGGGTTAATGATGTCATCCATACGTCCTTGCTACTAATGGATCCATCTTAGCCAGGTGGCTATACTTGTAATCTTCCTTTGATTTTGGAGACAGAGTCTTGCTATGCAGTTCAGGCTGGCCTTGGACTCACTTTGTAGCCCAGGCTGGGCTCGAACTCGCAACAATCCTCAGCCTCCCCAGTGCTGGAATTATAGGCGTGCGCCCCCATGCCTGGCTCATACTTGTAGTCTTATTGATTGATTATACCACGTTGTATCCACCTCGTGATTTTGCTCTATAAAACTTTCTCAGAGAAGTGAGCTTGTTGGCAACCCCTTTGGGACCCCTCCCGGTCTCAGGAGCTGGTTCTATTCCCCATTCCTACCCCCGAATAAATTTTCCTACTCTTAACCTCCACTGTTCCTTAGCATTCATTCTTTTTTTGTTGTTTGTTTTTTGTTTTTCTCCGGTACCGGGAATCGAACTCATGACCTTGCGCTTGCCAGGCAGGCGCTGTACTGCTGAGCTAAATCCCCAGCCCCAGCATTCATTTTTTGATTTCTGGAAACTTGAATTTGATGCCTCTGCCATCTAACAGGTTGGGAGTTAAGTTTTATCCCTCTAGCAGTGTCAGGGAAGCCAGGATTCTCTGAACATTTGACCCCTGAAGGAGCGGCATTGGTTTGGGGAGTGGATGCCTTGTATGGATCCGGTTCCTGGGTAGCAGCCCACGGAGGGTTCCTCATTCACAGAACTGTGCGATGCTTGCTTTACTTCTGAACAGTTATGAGCCCTGAAACACACACCCAGGAGCAAACCTCGGAGGAGCTCTCTGCAGTCCTACTCTAGGAGCCTGGGCTGTGCAAACAGATGGAGCAGTTGGTGGGTTTCTGTTCTGGTGTACATTTCACTCCTTGGCCAACAACGAGTCAGATCGCAGAAAAATGATTCCAAGGCCAGCTGTCTCCCTCGCCTTTCATTCTCTACAGCGCCCCCTTCTGCAAAGACATTGAGGCACTTCGCATGAGACTGACAGTTGTGAAAATAGAAGTTTGACCATTTCTGCGGTGCTTTTGAATCAGTAGGGAAACGCTCTTCAGTTGTCTTCTATCAGTTTATCTTCGTTGCCTGATGTAGTGACCCATGTCTGTAATAACAACACTCAGGAGGCTGAGGCAGGAGGATCATGTTTGAGACCAGCCTGGGCTACAACGTGAGCTCAAAGACAGCCTGAACTGCATAGTGAGACCCTGTCTCAAAAAGACAAAAACAAAAACAAAAAAAAAGTGAAGCAGAGTAAAGGAAGCTAGAAGTGGGGTTCATAGTCATCAATTCTGAAACCTGCAAAGAGAAAGTAGCAGGCTCATTTTAGCTTTTTTTGTTGTTTGTCTTTTTGAGACAGAGTCTCACTATGCAGTTCAGGCTGGCCTTGAGCTCACTTTGTAGCCCAGGCTGGTCTCGAACTCACAATAATCCTCTTGCC